TCTGACCGTCCTTCTGCCCATCCGTCTGTCCGTGTCTGTCCGTCTGTGTTCATCTGTCCCTCCCTCTGTCCGTCGCTCTGTCTGTGTCTGTCTGTCCCCTCCCTCTGTCCATCTCTCTGTCCGCGTCCATCTGTCTTATCTGTCCGTCCGTCCGTCCATGTCCGTCCATCTGTCTTTCCATCCATCTGTCCCTCCCATGTGTCTGTCCATCTGTCCGTCTGCCCGTCCATGTCGGTCTGTCCGTCCGTCTGTATCTGTGTGTCTGTCCTTCTGTGTCCGTCCGTGTGCATCTGTCCCTCCTTCTGTCCATCTGTCTGTCCGTCTGTGTCCGTCTGTCTGTCTGTGTCCGTCTGTCCATCCGTCTGTCCGTCTGTTCCTCCCTCTGTGTGTCCGTCCGCCCGTGTCCATCTGTCTGTCCATGTCCATCTGTCTGTCCATCTGTCCGTCTGTCTGTCCATCTGTCTGTCCGTGTCTATATGTCTGTCTGTCCGTGTCCATCTGTCCGTCCATGTCCGTCTGTCTGTCTGTTTCTGTGTGTGTCTGTGTCCATGTGTCTGTCTGTCTGTCCCTCTATCCATCTGTCTTTCCGTTTGTCCGTCTGTCCGTCTGTCCCTCCCTCTGTCTGTCCGTCTGTCCGTCTGTGTCCGTCTGTCTATCCGTGTCTGTCCGTGTCCGTCCGTCCGTGTCCCCTCCCTCTGTCCGTCCGTCCGTCCGTGTCCGTCTCTCTGTCCGTGTCCATCTGTCCCCTCCCTCTGTCCGCCCGCCCGTGTCCGTCCGTCTGTGTCTGTCCATCCGTGTCCCTCCCTCTGTCCGTCCATCTGTGTCTGTCCATCCGTCCGTGTCCGTCCGTCTGTGTCCGTCCGTCCATCCGTGTCCGTCTGTCTGTGTCCATTCGTCCGTGTCCGTCCGTCCGTGTCTCTCCCTCTGTCCGTGTGTGTCTGTCCGTCCGTCCGTGTCTGTCCGTCCATCTGTGTCCGTCCGTCCGTGTTTGTCCGTCCGTCCGTGTCCATCTGTCCATCTGTCCATCTGTCCGTGTCCGCCCGTCCGTGTCCGTCCGTCCGTGTCACTCCCTCCGTCCGTAGTCCGTCCGTCCCGTCCGTGTCCGTGTGTGTCTGTCTGTCCGTCCGTGTCCGTCCGTCCGTCCGTGTATCTGTGTCCGTCCGTCCGTGTTTGTCCGTCCGTCCGTGTCCATCTGTCCGTCTGTCCATCTGTCCGTGTCTGCCCGTCCGTGTCCGTCCGTCTGTGTCCCCTCCCTCTGTCTGTCCGTCCGTGTCCGTCCGTCCGTCCATGTCCGTCCGTCCGTCCTTGTCTGTCTGTCTGTGTCCGTCTGTCCGTCCGTGTCCGTCCGTCCATCCGTGTCGTCCGTCCGTCCTTGTCCGTCCGTCTGTGTCCGTCTGTCCGTCTGTGTCCGTCCGTCCGTGTCCGTCCGTCCGTGTCCGTCCGTCCGTGTCCCTCCCTCTGTCCGTCCGTGTCCGTCCGTCCGTCCGTGTCCGTGTGTCCGTCTGTCCGGTCCGTGTCCGTCCGTCCGTCCGTGTCCGTCCGTCCATCTGTGTCCGTCCGTCCGTGTTTGTCCGTCCGTCCGTGTCCATCTGTCCGTCTGTCCATCTGTCCGTGTCTGCCCGTCCGTGTCCGTCCGTCCTGTGTCCCTCCCTCTGTCCGTCCGTCCGTGTCCGTCCGTCCGTCCATGTCCGTCCGTCCGTCCTTGTCCGTCCGTCTGTGTCCGTCTGTCGTCCGTGTCCGTCCGTCCATCCGTGTCCGTCCGTCCGTCCTTGTCCGTCCGTCTGTGTCCGTCTGTCCGTCCGTGTCCGTCCGTCCTGTGTCCCTCCCTCTGTCCGTCCGTGTCCGTCCGTCCGTCCGTGTCCGTGTGTCCGTCTGTCCGTCCGTGTTTGTCCGTCTGTCCGTGTCCATCTGTCCGTCTGTCCATCTGTCCGTGTCTGCCCGTCCGTGTCCATCCGTCCGTGTCCCTCCTCTGTCCGTCTGTGTCCGTCCGTCCGTCCGTGTCCGTCCGTCTGTGTCCGTCTGTCCGTCTGTGTCCGTCCGTCCATGTCCGTCCGTCCGTGTCCGTCCGTCCGTTGTCTCTCCCTCTGTCCGTCCGTGTCCGTCCGACCGTCCATGTCTGTCCGTCCATGTCCGTCTGTCCATCCGTGTCCATCCGTGTCCGTCCGTCCATCCGTGTCTGTCCGTCCGTGTCCGTCCGTCCGTGTCCCTCCCTCTGTCCGTGTCCGTCGTCCGTGTCCCTCCCCCTGTCCATCCGTCCCCCGTCCGCCCGTCCGCCCGCAGGCGCGCTTCCCCGGCCGGGCTGCGGGCTGCGCGGGCAGCTGCGCGTTCCTGGCCTGGGCGCGGGCGGTGAAGCCGGGCGCCTGCCCCGCCCCCGGCCCGCGCTGCGCGGGGTTCGCGGCCGCCTGCGTGGACAGCTGCGCGGCCGACGGCGACTGCGCGGGCGCCCGCAAGTGCTGCGCCAACGGCTGCGGCCGCACCTGCCAGGCCCCGCGCGCCCGCCTGCGAGGTGAGCGCACCGGCCAGCGATCGGGGACGGATTATCGGTTATCGATCAGTGATTGGTTTATTGGTTATCGATCAGTGATTGGTTTATTGGACAGTTATTGGTTATCGATCAGTGATTCATTTATTGGACAGTTATTGGTTATTGATTAGTGACTGATTTTATTGGTTATCGATCAGTGATTGATTATTGATTATTGATTGATTTATTGGACAGTTATTGGTTGTCGACCAGTGATTGATTTATTGGTTATTGATTAGTGATTGATTTATTGGTTATTGATTAGTGACTGATTTATCGGTTATTGATCAGTGATTGATTTATTGATTGATTTATTGGATATCGATTAGTGATTGATTTATTGGTTATCGATCAGTGATTTATTGGTTATCGATCAGTGATTTATTGGTTATCGATCGGTGATTGATTTATTGGTTATTGATCAGTGACTGATTTATTGATTGATTTATTGATTTATTGGTTATCAATTAGTGATTGATTTATTGGTTATTGATAAGTGGTTGATTTATTGGTTTATTTATTGATTTATTGGTTATCGATTAGTGATTGATTTATTGGTTATCGATTAGTGATTGATTTATTGGTTATTGATTAGTGATTGATTTATCGGTTATTGATAAGTGATTCATTTATTGGTTATCGATCAGTGATTGATTTATTGGTTATCGATCCGTGATTGATTTATTGATTTATTGGTTATCGACAGTGATTGATTTATTGGACAGTTATTGGTTATAAATCAGTGATTGATTTATTGGTTATTGATTAGTGATTCATTTATTGATTATTGATTAGTGATGATTTATTGGTTATTGATTAGTGACTGATTTATTGGTTATCGATCAGTGATTGATTATTGATTGATTTATTGGACAGTTATTGGTTGTCGACCAGTGATTGACTTATTGGTTATTGATTAGTGATTGATTTATTGGTTATTGATTAGTGATTGATTTATTGGTTATAGATTAGTGATTGATTTATTTATAGGCCACGGATGGGTTATTGATTAGCTATCCATTGGTTATCGATCATCGATCAGTTATCGATTGGTGATTGATTTATTGGTTATCGATCGGTGATTGATTTATTGGTTTATCGATCAGTTATTCATTTATTGGTTATCGATCAGTTATTCATTTATTGGTCAGTTATTGGTTACTGATTAGTGACTGATTTATTGATTATTGATCAGTGATTGATTTATTGGTTATCGTCAGTGATTGATTTATTGGTTATCGATCAGTGATTGATTTATTGGACAGTTATTGGTTATCGATCCGTGATTGATTTATTGATTGATTTATTGATTTATTGGTTATCGATCAGTGATTGATTTATTGGTTATTGATCAGTGATTGATTTATTGGACAGTTATTGGTTATCGATCAGTGATTAACTTATTGGTTATTGATTAGTGATTCATTTATGGGCCACTGATGGGTTATTGATTTGGTATCGATTAGTTATCAGTTATTGATCGGTTATCGATCAGTGATTGATTTATTGGTTATTGATCAGTGATTGATTTATAGGCCACTGGTGGGTTATTGATTAGCTATGGATTGGTTATCGATCATCGATCAGTTATCGATTGGTGATTGATTTATTGGTTATCGACCAGTGATTGATTTATTGATTATCGATCAGTAATTAATTTGTTGGTTTATTTATTGGTTTATTGGTTATTGATTAGTGATTGGTTTATTTATAGGCCACTGGTGGGTTATTGATTTGGTATCAATTGGTGATCGATAATCGATCAGTTATTGATTTGTGATTGATTTATTGGTTATCGATCAGTGATTGATTTATTGGTTATTAGTGATTGGTTTATGGGCCACTGATGGGTTATTGATTTGGTATCGATTGGCTATCGATCATCGATCAGTTATCGATCGCTGATCGGCTTCTGATTGGTAATCGATGCCTCGGTGATCGATGGCTGTGGCCCGTTCCCAGGCGTCCCCGCGAGGCCCAGGCAGGAGCTGAGGTTCCGCGAGTTCGAGTCCGGGCGGTTGGAGCTGCGCTGGTCGTCCAGGTTCAACGTGTCCCTCGAACCCGTGGTCTACGTGGTGCAGCGTCGCTGGAACCGCGGGATCCACCCCAGCGAGGACGAGGCCACGCCGTGGCAGACGGTCACCCAGGTGAGACCCCGAAATCCACCCCCCAACCCGGGACCCCTGGGGGAAATCCAAGATGGCGCCCTGGACTTCCTCATTTCACCCAGAACCCGACTCCCGACATCCACGACCATTGGGAGACCCATTGCTCACATCCAACATGGCGCCCTGGACCTCTTCCTTCCCCCCAAACTGGTGTCCCAACGCTGGAAAACCCATTGTTCAAATCCAAGATGGCGCCCTGGACCCCTTAATTAAACCCAGAACCCGACTCCCGCCATCCACGACCATTGGGAGACCCATGGCTCACATCCAACATGGCGCCCTGGACCTCTTCCTTCCCCCCAAACTGGTGTCCCAACGCTGGAAAACCCATTGTTCAAATCCAAGATGGCGCCCTGGACCCCTTAATTAAACCCAGAACCCGACTCCCGCCATCCACGACCATTGGGAGACCCATGGCTCACATCCAACATGGCGCCCTGGACCTGTTCCTTCCCCCCAAAGTGGACTCCCAACCGTGGAAAACCCATTGTTCAAATCCAAGATGGCGTCCTGGACCCCTTCAATTCACCCAGAACCCGACTCCCGACATCCACGACCATTGGGAGACCCATGGCTCACATCCAACATGGCGCCCTGGACCTGTTCCTTCCCCCCAAACTGGTCTCCCAACCCTGGAAAACCCATTGTTCAAATCCAAGATGGCGCCCTGTATTCTTGATTTCACCCAGAACCAGACTCCCGCCATCCACGACCATTGGGAGACCCATTGCTCACATCCAACATGGCGCCCTGGACCTCTTCCTTCCCCCCAAACTGGTGTCCCAACGCTGGAAAACCCATTGTTCAAATCCAAGATGGCGCCCTGGATTCTTGATTTCACCCAGAACCCGACTCCTGCCGTCCACGACCATTGGGAGACCCATTGCTCACATCCAACATGGTGCCCTGGACCTCTTCCTTCCCCCCAAAGTGGACTCCCAACGCTGGAAAACCCATTGTTCAAATCCAAGATGGTGCCCTGGACCCCTTAATTAAACCCAGAACCCGACTCCCGCCATCCACGACCATTGGGAGACCCATGGCTCACATCCAACATGGCGCCCTGGACCTGTTCCTTCCCCCCAAAGTGGACTCCCAACCGTGGAAAACCCATTGTTCAAATCCAAGATGGCGTCCTGGACCCCTTCAATTCACCCAGAACCCGACTCCCGACATCCACGACCATTGGGAGACCCATGGCTCACATCCAACATGGCGCCCTGGACCTGTTCCTTCCCCCCAAACTGGTCTCCCAACCCTGGAAAACCCATTGTTCAAATCCAAGATGGCGCCCTGTATTCTTGATTTCACCCAGAACCAGACTCCCGCCATCCACGACCATTGGGAGACCCATTGCTCACATCCAACATGGCGCCCTGGACCTCTTCCTTCCCCCCAAACTGGTGTCCCAACGCTGGAAAACCCATTGTTCAAATCCAAGATGGCGCCCTGGATTCTTGATTTCACCCAGAACCCGACTCCTGCCGTCCACGACCATTGGGAGACCCATTGCTCACATCCAACATGGTGCCCTGGACCTCTTCCTTCCCCCCAAAGTGGACTCCCAACGCTGGAAAACCCATTGTTCAAATCCAAGATGGTGCCCTGGACCCCTTAATTAAACCCAGAACCCGACTCCCGCCATCCATGACCATTGGGAGACCCATGGCTCACATCCAACATGGCGCCCTGGACCTGTTCCTTCCCCCCAAACTGGACTCCCAACCCTGGAAAACCCATTGTTCAAATCCAAGATGGCTCCCTGGACCCCTTCAATTCACCCAGAACCCCACTCCCGACATCCACAACCATTGGGAGACCCATTGCTCACATCCAACATGGCGCCCTGGACCTGTTCCTTCCCCCCAAAGTGGACTCCCAACCCTGGAAAACCCATTGTTCAAATCCAAGATGGCGCCCTGGACCCCTTCAATTCACCCAGAACCCGACTCCCGACACCCACGACCATTGGGAGACCCATTGCTCACATCCAACATGGCGCCCTGGACCTGTTCCTTCCCCCCAAAGTGGACTCCCAACCCTGGAAAACCCATTGCTCACAATCCAAGATGGCGCCAGGTGGAAATCCACCTGTCAGCCATGGACAAACTCTGTGTTTCCTTTTCCTGTTCTTTCTATTTCCTTTTCCTTCTTCCACTTCCTCTTCAGTCTTTCATTTCCTTTCATTCCTCTTTCCCCCCCCGCAGACCACCGAGGAGCACACCCAGCTGGACGACATCCGGGCCACGCGCTGGTACCAGTTCCGGGTCGCAGCCGTCAACGTGCACGGCACGCGGGGGTTCACCGCCCCCAGCAAGCACTTCCGGTCCTCCCGAGGTCAGAGGGGTCGTGACCCTGGACAGGGGTGGGTGGAAGGAGGGAAGGAAGGAAGGAAGGAGGGAAGGAAGGAAGGAGGGAAGGAAGAAAGGAAGGAAGGAAGGAGGGAAGGAAGGAAGGAAGGAAGGAGGGAAGGAAGGAAGGAAGGCAGGAGGGAAGGAAGGAAGGAAGGAGGAAAGGAAGGAAGGAAGGAGGGAAGGAAGGAAGGATTGGAAGGAGGGAAGGAGGGAAGGAAGGAAGGAGGGAAGGAAGGAAGGAAGGAGGGAAGGAAGGATTGTAGGAAAGGAAGGAAGGAAGGAGGGAAGGAAGGAAGGAAGGAAGGAAGGATTGGAAGGAGGGAAGGATGGAAGGAGGGAAGGAAGGAGGGAAGGAAGGAAGGAGGGAAGGAAGGAAGGAAGGAGGGAAGGAAGGATTGTAGGAAAGGAAGGAAGGAAGGATTGGAAGGAAAGAAGGAAGGAGGGATGGATGGAGGGAAGGAAAGATGGAAGGAAGGAGTGAAGGAAGGAAGGAGGGAAGGAAGGAATGATGGAGGGAAGGAAGGAAGGATTGGAGGGGAGGAAGGAAGGAGGGAAGGAAGTAAGGAGGGAAGGAAGGAAGGATTGGAAGGAAAGAGGAAAGGAGGGATGGATGGAGGGAAGGAAGGAAGGAATGATGGAGGGAAGGAAGGAAGGAGGGAAGGAAGGAAGGAAGGAGGGAAGGAAGGAAGGGGGGAAGGAAGGAAGGAGGGAAGGAAGAAAGGAAGGAGGGAAGGAAGAAAGGAAGGAAGGAGGGAAGGAAGCAAGGAGGTAGGGAAGGAAGGAAGGAAGGATTGAAGGAAAGGAAGGAAGGAAGGAGGGAAGAAAGGAAGGATTAAAGGGAGGAGGAAGGGAAGATTGGAAGGAAGGAGGGACGAAAGGAGGGAGGGAAGGAAGGAAGGAAGGAAGAAAGGATGGAAGGAAGGAAGGATTGGAAGGAAGGAAGGAGGGAAGGAAGGAAGGAAGGAAGAAAGGATGGAAGGAAGGAAGGATTGGAAGGAAGGAAGGAGGGAGGGAAGGAAGGAAGGAAGGAAGGAAAGAAGGAAGGAGGGAAGGAAGGAAGGAAGGAGGGAGGGAAGGAAGAATGAAAGGAAGGAAGGAAGGAAGGAAGGAGGGAGGGAAGGAAGGAAGGAAGGAAGGATGGAAGGCGGGAAGGGAGGAAGGAAGGAAAGAAGGAAGGAGGGAAGGAAGGATTGAAGGGAAGGAAGGAAGGAAGGAAGGAAGGAAAGAAGGAAGGAGGGAAGGATGGAGGGAAGGAAGGAAGGATTGAAGGAAGGAGGGAAGGATGGATGGCAGGAGTGCAGGCCAGCCCTTCCCCTTGGTGACCCCATGGCTGACCCTTGACCCCCTCCTCCCCTCAGCCCCGTCCCCGCCCCCCGCCCCCTCTGATCTGCGCGTGGCCGACGTCGCGTGGAGTGACGACGGCAGCGTGGCCGTGACCCTGGCGTGGACACCGCCCTTTGACCCCGACCTCCCCGTCCACCACTACAAGGTCACCTGGAGCTGGACGGACGGCGGGACCCCGAGCAAGCGCAGGACAACCACTGGAGGGGTAAGTCGAGGCACGGGGAGGGAAGGAAGGAAGGAAGGAAGGAGGGAAGGAAGGAAGGAAGGAGGGAGGGAAGGAAGGAAGGAAGGAGGGAAGGAAGGAAGGAGGGAAGGAAGGAAGGAAGGAAGGAGGGAAGGAAGGAAGGAAGGAGGGAGGGAAGGAAGATAGGAAGGAGGGAAGGAAGGAAGGAAGGAAGGAGGGAAGGAAGGAAGGAAGGAGGGAAGGAAGGAAGGAGGGAAGGAAGGAAGGAAGGAAGGAAGGAGGGAAGGAAGGTAGGAAGGAGGGAGGGAAGGAAGGAAGGAGGGAAGGAAGGAAGGAGGGAAGGAAGGAAGGAAGGAAGGAAGGAAGGAGGGAAGGAAGGAAGGAGGGAAGGAAGGAAGGAAGGAAGGAAGGAAGGAAGGAAGGAAGGAGGGAAGGAGGGAAGGAAGGAAGGAAGGAGGGAAGGAAGGAAGGAGGGAAGGAAAGAAAGAAGGAAGGAAGGAAGGAAGGAGGGAAGGAAGGAAGGAAGGAGGGAAGGAAGGAAGGAAGGAAGGAAGGAGGGAAGGAAGGAAGGAAGGAAGGAAGGACGGACACAGAGGACAATCAAGTCCAGGGGAAGGCAGGTGACCGCAGGGGTAAATCGAGGCACGGGTGGGAAACCATCCAGTCCTTGGAGGAGGGAGGCGGTGGGAGGAACACCACCGATGGGGTAAATCGAGGCACGCGGCCGACCTTCCTCCACGTGACCCCAGTGCCCTGGGCCTTGAACTCTGACCCCTGGGTGCTCGACCCCCTGGGTCTCGGCCCCAGTCCGGGTTTGGGCTGCGTTGGGGGAACATGGAGGTGGGGGGGACGCCAGGAGGCCTTGGTAACGGAGCCGTTCTCTGTCTGTCTGTCTGTCTGTGTGTCTGTCTGTCTGTCTGTGTCCGTCTGTCTGTCTCTGTGTCTGTGTCCGTCCGTGTCTGTGTCTGTCTGTCTGTCTCTGTGTCCGTCTGTCTGTCTGTGTCTCTCTGTCTCTTGTGTCTCTCTGTGTCTGTCTGTCTCTGTGTCTCTGTCTCTGTCTTTGTGTCCGTCTGTCTGTCTGTGTCTCTCTGTCTCTTGTCTGTCTCTCTGTGTTGGTCTGTCTGTCTGTCTCTCTGTCTCTTGTGTCCGTCCGTCTGTCTCTGTCTCTGTTTCTGTCTCTCTGTGTCCATCCATCTGTCTGTGTCTCCCACTCTGTCCCTGTGTCCGTCTGTCTGTCTCTGTCTGTCTGTCTTTGTGTCCGTCTGTCTGTCTGTGTCTCTCTGTCTCTTGTCTGTCTCTCTGTGTTGGTCTGTCTGTGTGTCTGTCTGTCTCTCTGTCTCTTGTGTCCATCTGTCTGTCTCTGTCTCTCTGTGTTGTTCTATCTCTGTCTGTCTGTCTGTCTCTGTCTCTGTCTGTCTTTGTGTCCGTCTGTCTGTCTGTGTCTCTCTGTCTCTTGTCTGTCTCTCTGTGTTGGTCTGTCTGTGTGTCTGTCTGTCTCTCTGTCTCTTGTGTCCATCTGTCTGTCTCTGTCTCTCTGTCTTGTTCTATCTCTGTCTGTCTGTCTGTCTGTGTCTGTGTGTCTGTCTGTCTCTTGTCTCTGTCATTCTGTCTCTGTCTCTCTGTCTGTCTCTGTGGTGTCTCTGTGTCCGTCTGTCTGTTTTTCTGTATCCATCTGTCTGTCTGCATGTGTCTGTCTGTCTTGTGTCTGTCTCTGTGTCTGTCTGTCTGTCTCTTGTATCTATGTCTGTCTCTCTCTATCTCTGTTTCTGTCTCTCTGTGTCCATCTGTCTGTCTCTGTGTCCCTGTGTCCGTCTGTCTGTCTCTGTCTCTGTCTCTGTCTGTCTGTCTCTGTGTCCGTCTGTCTGTCTCTGTCTCTCTGTCTCTTGTCTGTCTCTCTGTGTTGGTCTGTCTGTCTGTCTGTCTGTCTGTGTCTCGGTCTCTTGTGTCCATCTGTCTGTCTCTGTCTCTCTGTCTTGTTCTGTCTGTCTGTCTGTCTGTGTCCGTCTCTCTGTCTGTCTCTGTGGTGTCTCTTTGTCCGTCTGTCTGTTTTTCTGTATCCATCTGTCTGTCTGTCTCTGTCTGTTTCCATGTGTCTGTCTGTCTTGTGTCTGTCTCTGTGTCTGTCTGTTTTTCTGTATCCATCTGTCCCTGTCTGTCTGTCTTGTTCTATCTCTGTCTGTCTGTCTGTCTGTGTCTGTCTGTCTGTCTGTCTCTGTGGTGTCTCTGTGTCCGTCTGTCTGTTTTTCTGTATCCATCTGTCTGTCTCTGTGTCTGTCTGCATGTGTCTCTCTGTCTTGTGTCTGTCTCTGTGTCTGTCTGTCTGTCTCTTGTATCTATGTCTGTCTCTCTGTCTCTCTCTCTGTGTGTCCGTCCGTCTGTCTCTGTGACTCTATGTCTGTCTCTTGTGTCTGTCTCTCTCTGTCTCTGTTTCTGTCTCTTTGTGTCCATCTGTCTGTCTCGTGTCTCTGTGTCCGTCTGTCTGTCTCTGTCTGTGTCTCTGTCTCTCAACTGTCTGTCTGTCTCTTGTGTCGGTCGCTCTGTCCCTGCGTCTGTCTCTGTGTCCCTGTGTCCATCTGTCTGTCTCTGTCTCTCTGTCTTCTTCTATCTCTGTCTGTCTCTCTGTGTCTCTTTGTCTGGTCTCTGTGTCCGTCTGTCTGTCCGTGTCTGTCTCTTGTCTGTCTCTCTGTGTTGGTCTGTGTGTCTGTCTGTCTCTGTCTGTCTGTCTCTTGTCTGTCTCTCTGTGTTGGTCTGTGTGTCTGTCCGTCTGTCTCTGTCTCTCTGTGTCCGTCTGTCTGTCTCTGTGTCCGTCTGTCTCTGTGTCTCTCTGTGTCTGTCCATCTGTCTCTGTGTCTCTGTCTCTGTCTGTCTGTCTCTGTCTCTTGTCTGTCTCTCTGTGTTGGTCTGTGTGTCTGTCTGTCTGTCTCTGTGTCTCTGTGTCCGTCCGTCTGTCTCTGTGTCTCTGTCTGTCTCTGTCTCTTGTTTGTGTCTCTGTCTCTGTCTGTCTCTCTGTCTGTCTCTGTGTCCGTCTGTCTGTCTGTGTCTCTCTGTCTCTTGTCTGTCTGTCTCTCTGTGTTGGTCTGTGTGTCTGTCTCTGTCTGTCTGTGTCCATCTATCTGTGTGTGTCTGTCTCTCTGTCTTGTTCTATCTGTCTCTCTGTCTCTGTCTGTCTGTGTCTCTGTCTCTTGTGTCCATCTGTCTGTCTCTGTCTCTCTGTCTTGTTCTATCTCTCTCTGTCTGTCTGTGTGGTATCTCTGTGTCCGTCTGTCTCTGTCTCTCTGTTTCTCTGTATCCGTTTGTCTGTCTCTCTGTATCCATCTCTGTCTCTGTCTGTCTGTCTCTGTGTCCGTCTGTCTGTCTGTGTCTGTCTCTCTGTGTTGGTCTGTGTGTCTGTCTCTGTCTGTCTGTGTCCATCTGTGTGTGTCTGTCTCTCTGTCTTGTTCTGTCTGTCTCTCTGGCTCTGTCTGTCTGTCTGTCTGTGTCTCTGTCTCTTGTGTCCATCTGTCTGTCTCTGTCTCTCTGTCTTGTTCTATCTCTCTCTGTCTGTCTGTGTGGTATCTCTGTGTCCGTCTGTCTCTGTCTCTCTGTTTCTCTGTATCCGTTTGTCTGTCTCTCTGTATCCATCTCTGTCTCTGTCTGTCTGTCTCTGTGTCCGTCTGTCTGTCTGTGTCTGTCTCTCTGTGTTGGTCTGTGTGTCTGTCTCTGTCTGTCTGTGTCCATCTGTGTGTGTCTGTCTCTCTGTCTTGTTCTGTCTGTCTCTCTGGCTCTGTCTGTCTGTCTGTCTGTGTCTCTGTCTCTTGTGTCCATCTGTCTGTCTCTGTCTCTCTGTCTTGTTCTATCTCTGTCTGTCTGCATCTGTCTGTCTGTGTCTGTTTGTCTGTCTCTTTTATCTATGTCTGTCTGTCTGTCTGTCTGTGCCTCTTTGTGTC